AGGGCTAAAGGGAGATGTGTGTGGACCTCCTAATGCTAACTACTAATCAAAAAGGTTTTATGGCCAACCATGTGGTTCCTACAGTGGGGCTCTGTGGAGGCAATGTCATGAAGAACTATGTTTTTGTAATGTCTATATTTAGATTGTTTGGGGACCTGGGAAACGAAAAGATCAGTTTTACCAAGGGGCAGGCTAAAGGAAGATCTCTGTATTCAAGTGTGTTGCCAGAAGGGCATTCAGGGACAGTCACAGGGAGTAGCCACAGAATTACTGGGAGTCCACTCAAAATACAGAAGCTCTGAATGGGAGGCAGCCAGCAGAGAGGGGTTGAGGTGCAGGATGGACTCTGCCCCTTCTTCAGGGCTGAATGCTGCCCTTCCCAAGTGGGGTGCATAACAAGTGAAAGCTTGCTGTTGTCTCTTGTGAAGTTACCAGCAGGCAAAGGGAATTGGCTCAGGAGGAAGGCATATTCCTGTAGGGAACCCAGAGACAGAGAGAATGAGCCTCTCTCTGATGTTTATTTAACATCATACAGTCAATTCTATGATCCCAACTAATGTGAGGTAATAGGGTCTATATAGCAACTACTTAGCACCAGTATGTAATCATGTGCTAGTTCTGCCTGCTTCAGGAAGGATAAGGAACAAGGCAGCTAAAAGGAAGTGTTTGAAAATTAGTATTGTTCTCCCGTACATCAAGTCTGAGGAAAGAGGAAGATTTTGATGTGAGGAAGAGCAAATAGGACCTGGTTCTGGGAAGGAAAAGGGCTTCAAATCTGGGGCTGAGACAAAAACATTGCTTGGATCTATATTAAGGGAAGAAGAAATGTGCGTTAGGTAGAACAGATATTTCTATTCAGAGCAGGGTGCTCAGCTTTGGAAAGAGACTGGAAAACAGAACATTGGGGAATCTGCTTGAGCTGGTGGGAACCAAAACTTCTGGTGAATCTAGGCTGGGGCTTATGTACACAAACATTTAGTTTGTGGCAAGTTTGGGTGTGAACCTACCCCACACTAGCCTGCCATACACTAACTAACTGTTCACATGGACTCTGCTGATGTACACTAACAGTTCATTAATGTGCTTTATTCTACTCCCGTTTCAAAGCAGCAGGCTAGAATGAGGTAGATTCACACCCCAGCATGTCACAAACTAAATGTGTGTGTAGACAAGCCCTTGAGTTTTACCTCAAAACTCTAACAGAACATAACGAAAATATTTTTAAGAACAAAATCTGTTTTTAATTATCAAAATTATAATAATCTTTTAGCATGCACCACGTAGGAGCTGACAACAACATTAACAAACTAGGGAAATGCAACCTAGATGGAGATACCATAAGATGGGTGCAAAACTGGTTGGAAAACCATTCCCAGAGAGTAATTATCAGTGGTTCACAATCATGCTGGAAGGGCATAACGAGTGGGGTCCTGTAAGAGATAAGTTCAGTATCTTCATCAATGATTTAGATAATGGCATAGAGAGTACACTTATAACATTTTTGGACGATACCAAGCTGGAAGGGGTTGCAAGTGCTTTGGAGGATAGGATTAAAATCAAAATGATCTGGACAAACTGGAGAAATAGTCTGAAGCAAATAGGATGAAATTCAGTAAGGACAAATGCAAAGTACTCCTGTGGTGGGACGGCTTCCCCACACAGGGAGAAGAAGGGGTTAAAAGCAGCACCAGGGAGGCTGCGTAGAACCCACGAATCAGGAAAGGGCTTACTGAGCCCACCAACAGGGGAAGGCTTGCTGGAGCAGCCAATCAGGGCTGGCGAGGGCCACATATGAAGAGCTGCTTAGGACAGCAGTAGGCAGTATCTCCCTGGAAGGCAAAGGTGGAGGACTGGCTGCCTGAAGAAGTGCCAGAGATAGAGTAGTGCTGGGTAGGAGCAACAGAGTGTGAGGGTGAGCTGCTGGCTGACCACTGCCAAGCTGGGGCCTTGCTACAAGGGCTGAGAGGGTGCCAGGGCTATGGGGGGAGTAGCCCAGGGAAAATAGGCAGCAGGTTGGAGGAGGACAGTAGGTGACTGTCGGCTATAGGGATCCAGAGTAGCAGGCAGGCCTGGGTCCCCCTGACCTCACTTGCCAATGAGGAGAGTGGCTCGTATCCAGAATGCAGTTTGCCCCTGAGGCAAAGGGCTGGACCTCGGACTGCAGTTGGCCGCTGAGGCAAGTGGCAGGACTAAGGACTGCCAGTCCCCTGGAAGGGGGGAGATACCAGAGTCGGGGCACAGCCAGAGGACCATGCCCAGAAGAGGACGCTGCGGTCTGGGGAGCAATGCAGGTCCAAAGAGTGGAGACAGCAGTGACAGCAGGCATGACACCACTAGCTGAAGGTGGACTGGAAGGGCCTAGAGCTAATTCCCAGGACGGCCAGCAGGAGGTGCGGTGGTGGTGAGACCCACCCCGTTACAACTCCATTTAGGAAGGAACAAATCTGTTGCACACATACAAAATGGAAAATGAGTGCATACGAAGGAGTACTGCAGAAAGGCATCTGGGGTCATAGTGGATCACAAGCTAAATATGAATCAACAGTGTAACACTGTTGCAAAAAAAGAGAACATCATTCTGAGATGTATTAGCAGGAGTGTTGTAAGCAAGACACGAGAAGTAATTCTTCCGCTCTACTCTGCATTCATTAGGCCTCAACTGGAGTATTGTGTCCAGTTCTGGGTATCACATTTCAGGAAAGATGTGGACAAATTGGAGAAAGTCCAGGGAAGAGCGACAAAAATGAATAAATGTCTAGAAAACATGACCTATGAGGAAAGATTGAAAAAAATGGGTTAGTTTAGTCTGGAAAAGAGAATACTGAGAGGGGAAATAACAGTTTTCAAGTACATAAAAGGTTGTTACAAGGAGAAGGGAGAAAAACTGTTCTTCTTAACCTCTGAGGATAGGACAAGAAGCAATGGGCTTAAATTGCAGCAAGGGAGGTTTAGGTGGGACATTAGGAAAAACTTCCTGTCAGGGTTGTTAAGCACAGTAATAAACTGTCTAGGGAGGTTGTGGAATCTCCATCATTGGAGATTTTTCAGAGCAGGTTAGACAAACATCTGTCAGCAATGGTCTAGATAATACTTAGTCCTACCATGAGTGCAGGGAACTGGACTAGATGACCTCTCGAGGTCGCTTCCAGTCCTATGAGTCTGATTTCCAGCCCTTACACTGCCCCTGAGTGCAAGGGCCTGTTAGGACTATTGTGTTTATGGGAGCTAGCCTCTGCAAAAGGGAAGAGGAAGTGAATTCATGATAAAACTGGAGCGCTGTATACTATAAACCTTCCTAAGAGATAGCTGTACCATATCCTGGAGATTTACTCCCAAGAAACCCACAGAGCTTTCATTGTAGTTTTCCTCATGATTATGTAAAACTATAGTTATGGATATAAGTAAAACTTTCAAATGCTTCACTACATTCCTTTGGAAGAAATGGAAGAAATTCCCCTGTATGGTTAAGCTTCTTCTCACAAATCAGAGCAAATAGAAAAATCTCATATGCAAATATATTGCAGATCCTGCAGTTTTCGGGTCTTCTCATTATGTTTTCTATTTTCTTGAATAATCTTTGTTTCTTATTTTAAAACAAAGACTCTAGATTGGATTACAACTGGAAGGCTGCGTTCTTTCCCTATTCCCTAGCCATGCAGGAAACTGCCTTCACCAAAAGACCAAGTGCAGCTTTATGCTATTCTTCTGTATATTTCTACATTACACCACACTATTGAGATTTCAGCCTCAATGTCTAACTGGGATAATTTGAACACTATTAAGGAAAACAATATAAGAACAATTTAGAGTCAAAGTAACTTTTTTAAATTATGATCCAAACCTTGGTTACTTTACTGAAGTGTGATAGCCCACTGATTTCAGTGAGAAAACTTGTATGAATAAAGTGAGCAATATTTGGCCCATTCTTTGTTTCCCCTTCTAGTATATTTTAGAATTGTCTCTTTTGCTTGGTCATTCTACAAATCTGGGGGGGGGGGGGGAAGACATACAGGATGAATCACACTTCCTCTTCCCTATGCTGGGAAAAACTGGAGGACAAGGAAGTCTTCAAGGAACCTTTCATCTTTCCAACTTTTATTTTTGGTTTTCTAATTTCTCCTGTGATTAAAAAAATCTCTGTAAATATTTTCCTCAAATTTTGCATTAATTTTCCTGGTTTTCTACTAGTGATCTTTGCACATATTCTTTGCAAAATTCGTTAACTTTACCAGGAAGCTTCAGATAAATGATCAGCACTATTGATAAAGATCTTACATTAGTATAATACCTTACATTCTGATGGATCAAAAAGTTCTATACAACGTTAACTTACTGATATGAAAGCTATTCACCTGGATCATTTCATCCACAATTTAAATTTCAACCATTCTTGGGGTGAAACTTGAACAACTATGTAAGAGTGTATTACACATTACATACTATTTAGAACAGGAAATGTGGCATAATTTCAATTGCAACTACAGAAGGAATTTGAGTAAACCAAATGTAATTACAAGACTTGTCACATGATCAGGACACTGTGTTAATACTTCTGCTGTTACAAAGAGTGTCATAGGGGCCTTTAGTAACAACAAAGAGCAGTCAGCCTTTGTTTTGGTCTCACTGGAAAGATGGAACCATGAACAGCACAGAGACCCTTTAACACTTTGCAGGGTTATATGTTTAGCCTTAACTCACAAGGAAGAGTGTCATCTGAGGATCTGATCCAAATACCATTGACTTAAATGCACTGTGGATAAGACCCTAACTTATCAAGACTGCTTTCTGCAGTATCATGATGTTCCTTGAAAACATCAGTCTAAAATGGTAAAACAGGTCAATCTTGATTAGCTTCAGAAAGAGCTGACAGGATAATACCATAAGGTGGGTATGAATGACTACTCTGAAGTTAAACAATGTATAGAGCTCAATCAAAGTGAAAATTATCTTGAATTAACATGTATTTAATAATGTGTATGATTTGTAAATTTATCACATACCACAACAATCAGGACAATCTGGATGTATCAGAGTATTTATTCCATATCCTGGATAGCAGCGATTAACCCATACCATTTGCAGAGTACCTTCAATATAGTATATTTCAGGTAAGGGTTCAGAACGTTTCCCCAGCACTTCCACTTGTTGGTTAAAAAATCTCTCTATAAGGTTTTTTGCCTAAAGTAAAACAAAAAGATGTTGTTAAATCCCCCATTCAAAAATAAGTAAAATTATTTTTTGGTTTTTTTCTAGTGTACTTAATGCGGGAGAGGTCTTAGGGTACAGGATCTGGGAGATGTATTACTGTCATTATTGATCATTGCTGATGGGGGGGGGGGGGGAATAAAGCTGGCTGGCTAGTCTATCCTATTTTAAATTCAGACTACTATAACAGTGAATTTTAATTTCCAGGAAGTGGTCAGAGCTTTGGCAGGCACTAATAGCTGTCATGAGTCAGCAAAAGTAAAGAGTACCAGCAAAAACATTCTAAAAATGAGTGACAGTTTTCCCTATATTATAATAGGGATTTCTATGATGCAGCATCAGCAAAATAGACTCATGGGTCTTCCATCTGCACAACTACTGACATACAGGATGAATCACACTTCAAATGCTCTTCTCACCAATGACAGGTCATCTGTTCAAGACGCAGACAATGCAAGCATCTCCCCAGAATAAAGCAAACTACAAAAAATTATGCTATTGTAACCGTCAAATATAACATGGGAGATTATTCCCATTGCTGAAGTGGTTTCGCAGCAATCCAATTCTAGGTAACAAATTATTTTTTCTCTTAATGCATCAATTTTAGCACTGAAAAACAGGTGGAACTCCATGGTCCATAAGCTCCAAGTAGCAATGCCCATCAAAGTGAGCCCTTCTTCAGTGCCGGGAGGAGGAGGGGTTACTTAACTGAACAGTAAGTGATGTTCTTCAAGGTGTGTAGCCTGTATTTGTATTTCACAGCTGGTGGTTACACATCTAGAGCATATGCACCAGAGATCTTTCTAGTCAGCACTATCTGCTGGGGTGACACATGCTCCATTCACATCCTTGTGTGCTCAGGTGAAGGTATAAAAAAACCTCAGTTCCTTCACCACCTCAAAAGCCTGTTGTCTGAAGACTCCGAAGTAGGGATGGTGGATGGGTCATGCAATATGTATACTGACTACACATCTTGAAAGACGTACAGATAAGTAAAGAATGGTTAGTTTGTACAGTACATAAGAACGGCCCTACTAGGTCAGACCAAAGGTCCATCTAGCCCAGTATCCTGTCTTCCAACAGTGGCCAGTGCCAGGTGCCCCAGAGGGAATGAACAGAACAGGCAGTCTTCAGGTGATCCATCCCCTATAGCTCATTCCCAGCTTCTGGCAAACAGAGGCTAGGGACACCATTCCTGCCCATCCTGGCTAATAGCCATTGATGGATCTATCTTCCATGAATTTATCTAGTTCTTTTTTGAACCCTGTTATGGTCTTGGCCTTCACAACATCTTCTGGGAAGGAGTTCCACAGGTTGACTGTGCATTGTGATGGAGTTTTGAGAGGTATTATCCCTGGGTAATCCCTGGGTGAGGCGTGAATATACTCCCCGCACCTGAAACTAGAAGATTTTTCATTAGTAGTGTCTATTGGTCTGTGCCTCTGCCCTTCTCCTTTTGCTCCCAATTTACAGTATTAGCAGCAATGTGGACCGACTACCTCTCCTGTTCTTCTCTACCATGAATAACCTTAAGCTAATTATCTGAAGCAGAAGGGAAGCAGGCAGGTGATGGAATATACATAGGGACCACACATTTCAAAGAACTTCTGTTACTGTACAACGTAAGTAACATTCTTCTTCTTGGGATAGTCCCTATGTTTACTCCGCTCAAGGGACTCACAAGCAGTACTCACGGAGGAGGAGTGCGTGAGAAACCCTGCACTGATAAGTGGTATGCTCTGCTGAAGGAGCTGTCTGCTGCTGAAGCCTGCACCAAGGTGTAATGCTTTGCAAAGGCATGCACGGAGCCTCATGCTGCTGCTGCTCCTCAGATCTCTAGAAGAGGGATGTCCTATAGTGAAGACACACAAACTGACTGGGCTCTGAGTGTGCTCTCACACCCTGTTGGGCAGGTGTATGAAGCAAAGCACGATGCAACTCAGAATGACTCTGAATGGAGATAGCTTCTCCTGTCATACATTCGATGAAGGAGACAAATAGATAAGGGGATCTTAAGGGTTTTGTCCTCTATAGGTAGAAAGCCAAGGCTAGTCAAACATCCAGAAAATGGAGCTTCATGTCCTCTCTGGTGGCACATGGTTTCAGGTAAAAGGCAGGTAAGTGGATGGCCTTCTTCAGACAGTAATTCCAAGATCACCTTCCAAATGAACTTAAGATGTAACCTTTGGGAAACTAACACTATGGAAGACTGTATATGGAGGGTTGGCCATAAGGACTTCCAGCTTTCCTACTCTTTGCTGAGGTCTCTGTAACAAAGGCGGCACCTTTCACAGACAGATGACTGGAGGAACATGAGGCCAAGGGTTCACATGGAGGATTCATTCAGGCACAAAGATTATACTGAAGTCCCATATCAGCATAGGTTTCAGCACCAAAGGAAAGATTCTGATAAGGCCCTTCAAAAATCTCTCTGTAACCAGAGAGATAAAAATTGTATAGTTGTCCACCGGTAGGTGAAAAGCACCAAGTGCTGCCAACTGCACTTGTAAGAAGCTGAGTGACAATCCCAACATTTTCAGAGGGGAGAGAGACGCAAATATAGCTGAAATCTCAGAACCTTTTGGGGATAACTGTCAATGCTGGCACTGTATAGAAAAATTTCTTCCATTTTGCTGTATAGCATTTCTCTGTAGAGTCTCTTCTGCTGTTGCTAAGGTCTGACTATAGAGCAGCAGAACACAATTGCTCTAAGTCTGTTGTCCACCCAAATACCAATCTGCCAACTGGGGAGCTGCTGGGTTGGGGTGGTAGAACATGGTTTTGTTCTGGGTTAAGAGGTCTGATGACATTTGAAAGCAGATGGTGCACAGTCATCTGGAGAACGCCAGTGAACCAGAACTGTTTTAGCCACATGGGAGTTACCTAGGTTACTGTCACTTTGTGCTGTCTAATCTTTCTCAAAACTTGCAGTAAGACTGGATGAGTGGAAATGTACATTACTGTTTGGGACAAAAAATATATCTTCTTTGGAATTCTGGCCTTGGGCTATTAGGAGCAGCAGGCCAGGCATTTCTTGTTCTCATCAGACACAGAGATTTCACAACAAGGTCAACACAACACTGTTGAAAAATGCTCCACATCACCAAACTGTGTAGTTTCCACTTGTGTTCACTGGCGAAGTGTCTGCTGAGGCTTTCTGCCAGCTTTTTCTGCATCACAGCTAGGTTCTCCACCTCTGACCAACCAGTTATTTAGACAGGGGAATTCCTTAATGCCTATTTTTCGGAGATAGGCAGCTACTACCACCAAGCACTTGATAAATATCCCTGATGATGCAGAAAGCCCAAATGGCAAAACCTAGCATCAGCAATGATTGTTGTCTACAGTGAAACTCAGGTAGCATTTCTGGGCTGGGGGTATTGCAGTGTGAAAGTACGCATCCTGAAAGTTAAGGGCAGCATATCAGTCCTTCTGATACGGGAGATCAAAGTGAAAAATATCATCCTGAATCTGAACTTCTTGATGTAAACATTCAGGTCTCTGATGTCCAGTATTGGCCAGAGTTCCCCTTTCTTCTTTGGAATGAGAAAGTATGTTGAATAGAACCCTCTCCCTCTTTGACAGAGAAGCACCTCTTCTGTTGCATTGAGAGCTATGCGGGATTGTGCCTCTCAATTGAGAGGGATCACCGAATACAGATGGGGAGGATGAGGTGGGTAGCAGGATAGGAAAGGAACTGTATCATATAGACGATCTCTATCCATATCCAACACCCCAAGATTTGAGATGATGTTGGACCAGGTGTGGTGGAAATGAACCTGATGGTTGCCAAAGAAGGGAAGCGGGGAGATATCCGAGGCTCAGAAACAAGACGTACGCTGTCCTTGGGCACAAAATCAAATTTTCTGCCTTGGGGAAGCAGGAGAGTGCTGGAACAGAGTGGTAGTTGCACCCAAGGACTTCCTTCTTGAAAACCTTTGCCTCCTTCTAGTGTGCTCAGGTGGCCTATATTAGTAGCAAGGAGGCTGTCTCTGATGCACTGGAAGCACAGTGTGCCTGAACTGCAGTTGTTTGAAAGCCAGGCGTAGACCACTAAGGATCTGAAGATAGCACTTGAGTCCCTGAGAGTTCTGATGGCCTCATTAGTCTTGTAGAACAAAGAGCATCCCTCAGAAGGCAGATCTTCAACCATTGACTGCTGCTTCTTAAGTATCCTGGGTGAGGACAGCCACAATGAGTGATGCATCATAACTGTTGTCATCATTGCCCTGGAGGCCATATCTACAGTACCCAATGCTGCCTATGCTAGGATAGCTTGGAATTTACTCTTGTGATAGTTTGTCAATAAAGCATTGCATGGTACACCAGCTGAAGTGGTGGTACTTTACTCAGACTGCTTGACAGTGTAAGGACCTGGGGAGTAGAATCCTGGTCTGTAGAGCATGGAGCAACTAATATTCTCACAATGCCACCAGAAGGCCTTGTTAAGGCATAGCCAGGGAGCACTGTGGAGAATAGACGCTTCAGGAAGGACTCCCTGTTGTTTTTGCTGATACAGACTAACACGGCTACCCCTCTGAAACATGTTCTAGTGGTTAGCCTACTTACCTGGGATGTTGGTTCAAGTCCCTGATCTGCATCAGGCAGGAGGAGGAATTTGAAACTGGAACTCCCACATCCCTGCTGAGTGCCCTAACCACCACGCTATTGGCTTCTGTCTCTCTTTCTCTCTAACAACGCTGAAAGCAGCCAAAACCACTTGGACAAACCTAGGACATGGGCCACCTAAGCAGATGACCTGGTTCAGATGCCTAATTCTAGAAAGAGTTTAACAGCTGAGCCTCCCAAGGAGAGGGAGATACCTATCTCTGGGCCATCAGCCAGGTACAGAAGGCCTACATTAATGAGAATGACACATCTAAATATCCTTGAGGATCTGGGCCTAAGCCACACACTTTCTTCAGCATTTCAGTCATGGCCAACTTACAGAGCTACCTGCTCAGCTTGTTGGCTTCTGAGGATCCCTTCCCTAGACAGCTAACTGTATCCATGCATTGTGGGCACCTAACTAAGGGCTTTAGATTCCAGTAAGCAGCAGGCCACCTCGGGGTTAACATTGCAACACTGAGCAGAGCAACCCCTACATACCTGTGTGGATCTGGGCCTAAGTGCCAACAGTCTAGATCCTCAATGGAATTTGGACACCTAACTCCTAATGAAGTCAATGAGATCTGGGCCCCAGGCACTTTGAAAAATTTTACCCTAGGCACCATTATGGGCTGTCTTGCAAAAGGAGATAAATACTGAGTTGTGCTCCCCTCACCTTTTAGTTGTTATTGTTTTCTAGTGATGCATAAATGAATTAAGGACTTCTTTTAAAATTTTGGTTTTTTACCATAAGAATTATCAGGAATGTCAAGTCTAGCATTTCCTGGTTTTGCTGAAGGACTCATTTGAGAACTTGGATATGGACTACGAGTTCTTTCAGCACTCACTTGAAGAGCTAGAGGATGTTGAATTTCTAATAAAGATATTTTTCTCCAAGTGTTTCTCAGGCATTTTGGATAAACAGATGTTAAAAGTCTGGGGGCGGGGAGGGATCCTCAGACAGTGTACATTGGCACAGATTCGTTGTCCAAAGAGTTTTTTGAACAATCTGAATGATTAAACCATCTCGAGCTTGTTTCATTTGCTTGTTTTTTCTGATATTATTAATCCTACCAGTTCTCCAGTCATCCACAAAATCTTCTGGGGAAAAAAGTGGGATACACCCAAATTTCTAATATATTAAGATTTTTTTCTGTTTATATCAATGATACAAAAATGCACAAATTCATTTTTCCTTTTGTCAGATTAAGTGAAAATCTCAAATAACTGAATTTTGAAGGTTAGTTTGATAAAACCTTTTCTGGAATAAAAAAAAACTAAAAAATATTTGTCTTCTTTGTCTTTGTCAAATATTTGTCTTTGAAATGTAGTTTAATAGTCCACAGTTCTGAAAAATATCCTCTCCATCTTATAAATAATACATTAATTAAGGCAATATTTAACTTTTTCTATTTTACTGTAGCACTTTAAAAAGTAAAGTCATGGTAAGCCACACACCAACATCAGGGTTACTTTCAAATAACGTAAAGACATGCTTTGTTGCAAACTATGGTTAGATTTATAACCATACAAACCTCTTTTGATTGTTTTACTACTATTCACACTCAATATCTTACTTTTGTGTAATTATCTCAACACCTAATATCAAACAGCTCAAGCCTGTTCTCCAAATAAAGCACAATGCAATTCACCCTTTTCACGTGGCAAACCAAAAATTAAACAATATTAATAGGTGATAAATTACATGTAAGTGCTCACTGGTACATCCATTTGCACATACGTTAACGTTTTTAATTATTATACTCATTCTTTAGATCAATTTATTGGCACTAGAAAGAGTTAAATAATTATTTTTGCTGGTCTTCGTGTTTTTTGATTTATCTACAGTACCTTCTTTAATCTCTTAGCAGTATCACAACTCTTTTGCTGACATGGATTGTTGTTTTTTTCTGTATCTAAAGAAGAAACTGTAACAAAACATACTTTACTTTACAAAGGAACAAATACACTGAAATCAACATTAAACTTGCTAATATCCCAAAAATATACTTTAAGATTTTCTTTTCAAATTTATAAAATTACATTTCTGATTATGCCTGAAGGAACTATACAGACAATATTTTTTGTATGTTCAGATGTCTGACTAGTATTACTGCCTTAAAGAAATAATCAGAATTTTGCTCTCATGAACATATAATTAGATCATGGTGCACTTAAATATTATATGATATCTCCTTTTTAAAAAAAAGTGTAATTGAAGGCAATACTTATTTGCAGATTTTGATCGCTAGGAAATTAGTAATCTTAGAAATCTACCAATGTTGTAAATATTCTAATTCTATAAATTCAGATGAGTAATCCACTTGAAAATTATTTAATTACAGTGGCTGTTTAATCATGGTATAAGTCTTAATATATCACTTTTGGGTTGAGTGTGTAGCCAGACAGGAACTCCAAAAGCTCAAAGTTCTAATCAATTATTTCTGCAAGGACCATCTTGAGCCTCCCCTGAAGAAAAGCCATGATAATCCCTAGTGCTTCCAATGATCAGTTCCTTTCTAGTGAAAGACCAATAGTACAGTAGAATATAACAAGGATTACTTCATCAACTTTAGTTCTTCAAAAATGATTGCCTTATGGATCTACATTCTTGTGAAACATGTATGCTCCGTAGGTACAAGTGTCTAATGCCTAAGCCTGATTGCATAACAATGGATTGCAGCCCTAGTTACCACTCTGTTCCTTCCATTTTCTCAGGAATCCTTATACAACTCTGACATGAAGGATGGTGAGAAGCCTGGATCCAAATAGGCAAATGATTACACTCATGCAATCATCTGCCTGTACAGATCCCCATTCTTTGGAGATTAACAAGCATTAACAACTCAGTATGATGGAGGGCCAGAAGAAATATTAATTAAATAGAGATTGAAGTGCTCCTCTCCGCCCTTTTACATTAGAGTAAGTTGCCAAATGAAGAATATGAAATGTGTAAATGTATGAATTGAACTCCTTTTACCAACAGCTTTACATTGCTCTGTAATGGAAACATTTCTGAAATACGCATTAGAAGCTGCTTAAATCTAGTAAAATATGTTCCAAGACACTGGTTCACAACAGGTTTGTTTGCACATTTTGATCCCCTTAATCTCGGATAAGAGATCATACAGTCTGTGATTTTGATAAGCCTCAGATAGTCTAGGACAGGGGTTCTCAAACTTCATTGCCCCATGACCCCCTTCTGACAACAAAAATTACTATACAACCCCAGGACAGGGGATCGAAGCCTGAGCCCACCCAAGCACAGCTGCCTCGGGTGGGGGTCGGGGACAAAGCCAAAGCCTTAACTCCCACCACCCTAGGTTGGGGGGCCAAAGCAGGAGGCCTGTAACCCTGGGCCCCACCGCCCAAGGCTGAAGCTCTTAGGCTTTGGCTCTGGGTGCTGGGGCTTGGGCTTTGGCCCCGGACCCCAGCAAGTCTAACGCCAGTCCTAGCGACCCCATTAAAATGGGGTCACGCCCCGCCTTGTGGTCCCAACCCACAGTTTGAGAACCACTGTCTAGGAGACTTACATATTGTCTTAGTCCTATCTGCATAGTCTAGGTAATAGCTAAGAACTCTCAATATCTAGGTTATATAATCTGAACTCCCCCCCCGTAATGACACAGATTTAGAGGAGAAAAACAGCAAACTATTAATGACTGGTTTGGTGAAACATTTAGGGTTTGTTCTTTCAAATGCTTCATAAAGATGTTACAGCTACTGTGAATGGAGTCTTCAGGGGGAAAAGTAGTGCAGTCAGCATTCTGCAAGGACTTCCACATTGATCATTTTTTTAAAACCAGTTCAAATACCAAGAATGAGGTGATTCATCAACAACAGAAATGGAACTGGAGAATTAATAGAAATTTCAGCCTTCTGAGAGAATCCTTTCTACTTCAAAGTATTTCTCACCCTCCAAAAAGATCTGCTACACCTGTAACTACAACCACAATCTAAGTTGCACAACAAAGCAGCAGACAAACCAACGAGCTCATTAATTTCAGTTCTAGGTGGAAGAATTAGTCTTGATGAGATGGCAAATTTGGGAAACAGAACAAGGGAACAGGAGAGTTTCAATGCAAGAGCCAGGAAATCTGAGAAAATATAATGACATGCCACAGTTGCAGCTATTATGAACTCATGGACTTTGTCTTGTTTGATCGTTCTAATGATGGCAGAAGAGCTATTGGAAGGAAGTAATATAGAAACTCCTGGTGCGAATCTAGTAGAAAGTCACCTATCAAAAATTTTGGACCTCTGCTACTCGTGTATGACGATATTTTGCATTCTCTGTTGTGACCACCAGGTTTATTTGTGCTGTTTCTCACACCTGAAAAAAATGAGTAGTTTACATTTAACACTGACATTTGACTGGAATAGACTACACAATGGATCCCTCTTGAAAACTGAGCTCTCAACAAGAAATCTGGATAGAGACCAATACAGCTACCTTGACATCTTACATCTACTGACAGACACTTGATAAATATTCTTAAGGAAAAAGATGTAAAGGAAAATACCCTATATTGAGAGAAGTCTTCACCCAAGCCAAGGCTCATATAGTTTTTGATCAATAAGACAGATGAAAATATGAAAGTAGGCATCCTTTACATTGAAAGCCGAAACCTACTGGGTGAACTCTCTTCTTAGATCCAATATGCCTCTTATTTTCTCTTTTTTCCCCCAGGGGATAAGAAACAAACAAAAGAATGTGGATCTAGTCCAAAGTCTCAAATGGGACTTGGACTCAGTGCTGCAGTGCCTAACTTTTAGGTCCCTGCTGCCTAAGGAATTCCACAGGCCTGGATTAGCTACCCAGGTTCCTTATATAAGGGGAGTGTCAGAGGCCTAAGAATGGGATTCACAGAAGTCAGCATACTGAATAGAAAGCTACCTAAGCTAGCCAATAGCAAATTTTGGGGAGGGTGGTAGGGCCTAAGCACCACCCCTCAAAATGAGTTAGCCACCTAATTGGTGGCACGTCTCTCTGCTTGAGGTTCCCTCTGCTTGAACATTCTACCAGAGTTAGGTGCCTAAACCAAGGCAGTCCTTTCATGCAAAAAGTGGTGGTGGTGGGGCCTGTTGCCCTCCCTCCCCTGTGGTTAGTGCATTCACCCCAACTGGGGAAGACACAGGTTCAAAACCTCATTCAGCCTGCTGTTGGACAGGGACTTGAACATGGGTCTCCCATACTCCAGGAGAGTACCGTAACTAGTCAGTCATTCTCTGTCTCCCTGACCCAATGAATATTTATGTATTTTACAAAAAGTGAAAGAGAGACTGAGCTTCACCCCAAAATACCACATAGCTCAGGGTTTAGAGAAAGGAAGATCTGGGTTTAAGTTTCTGCTCTACATTAGGAAGTATAGGGATTTGTATCCAGGCCTCTTACATCCTCTGTGAGTTCTATACCCTGTAGTCAAGTGGTTGGAGGGGACACTACCACCATCTCCTCCTCCATGGACACGTACTGGACCATGATGTGCAGATGATATAGGAGGGGAATGCCTAATTTGCAGATCCATTGGGACGTAAGAGATTTTACACATATCCACCAGCAGAATGCTAGGTGCACAGGGATTTTAGGAGCCTACACGGTTAGGCAGCAGCTGCATGGGGGTTTTCAGAATCTAATTTTTTGCACCTTTGTGGATCTAGCCCTCTGAGTCTTATTTTCTTGTGAGACAGATTTGTAACAGTTAGGAAAGAGTCAGTGATGAGCTGCCAAAATCTTAACAACCGGTTCCCTATAAAAAGTTCTGATTTAAGGGATGTGCCACATTATGTATTTTTTGTACCTTTCTCCATAAGAAGTGGCAATGCATTGAGTCACTGGGAGTCATACTTAACAATAAAAAAAAAATTGTACATGTGTATTACAATAGAAACAAAGTATTGCTTTATTAAATGCATATCAACATAATGAACGAGGCAAGTGCAACCCCTGTTAATAAAATAATAAACTAGACCGGGGTGGGCAAACTTTCTGGCACGAGGGCTACATCGGGGTTGTTAAATTGTATCGGGGGCCGGGTAGGGAAGGCTGTGCCCCCCCAAACAGCCTGTCCCCGCCCCCTATCTGACCCCCACCCATTTCCTGCCCCCGACTGCCCCCCTCAGAACCCACAACCCATCAACCCCCCCAGCTCCTTGTCCCCGACCACCCCCTCCCGAGACCCCCCACCTTAATTGCCCACCAGGACCCCGCCCCTACCCAACTTGCCCTGCTCCCTGTCCCTCTGACTGCCTCGACCCCATCCACCACCACAACAGACCCCCGGAACTCCCAAGCCTACCCAACGCCCCCCACCCCATCCCCTGACCGCCCTCCCCAGAACCTCCGCCCCCTATCCAGCCCCGGCCCAACCCCCTTACCATGCTGCTCAGGGCAAGCGTGTACGGATGTCGCGTGGCCCGCTGGAGCTCACAGCCCCACCCCCCGTACCAGGCCGCTCAAAGCGGCAGGAGCTGCAGAGCTGCCCAGGAGTGGTCCAGAGCGCTGGCGCCAGCGGCACAGGACACGGAGGCTCTGTGAGGGGGGAAGCCATGGGAGGGACTGGGGAAGCCTCCCTAGCCGGGAGCTCAGGGAGCCGTAACAATTTTTAACAAGCGGTTCTAAAACTGTTTCAAAATTTAACAACCGGTTCGCACAAACTGACTCCAGCTCACCACTGGAAATAGTGTGGAGCCACCTGGAGTAGTACTGGACAAAATTTCTTTTGTTAATGACTGGATTTAATTGTCCAATGAATTTTAAGGAGAAATTACATGGACAGCTGTCAAATTAGAAGATATGCAAGATAACTGAGGCAGCCAGCCAGTACAGCAACCGCTGGAAGCTCATTCATCAGCTATAATAAGAAAGGAACATAGGAGGCAACTTGTATCTCCATAGCTGTTCTGCAGGGGCTGTTTGTAATGCCCCTGCAGGAGCTGTAACTTTATGCTGTATAAGTTCCCTCTTGGCCATGTGCTTGGAGCCTGGGCCAAAGAAGGGGAATCAATTAGGATAGGTATCATTTTCTCATCTCTTGGTGATAGTTTCAGGTAGCTTAGCAATTCTTGACAATTTTTCCTGATAAAAATATACATTCTAAAGGTGATGTAATATACTCTTATTTCCACAGCTCTCCACTCAATGCTAAATAACGGAAAATGGAGTAAAGCTGGAGCAAAATGATTTTGCTCCAACACAACTATGCTGAAGCTCACTGGAGGCAGAGGGATGGATTCTTCAATTTGTGATTTAGGGCTCTTCAATCCACTATCCCTCACACCCAGTTAATCTGGGGATAAAAACAGTAGCAGACTGTTAAACAGATTATTAAAGCTTTGTCACAAACCTTGCCACCAGGAGCAGAACAGGAACTGTACTGTGACTCTCAGTCACACAGTGGTCCCTCCTTACTTCAGGGAAAATCCACACACCAGCCACAGGCCTGGCACAGGTTACTTCCCCAGAGGGCTGAGTGGTGGTGTGTGGGGAGATGGGCGGGGGACACAGTGGAATGGTTTTGCTAACTCTTCGACCATGGCCTCCCTTCCTCCACACATATGCGTAGGAGGGGGAATAACAGTCACACAGTAGCTGATCTCCCAATGCACTGCTCCTCACAATATATTAAGGGGGCATATTATATCCCTTTACTTCCCTATGTGGGCATGCCTCAGGGGTCACAATCTGACTCTATGATAAGACCAACTAAATAATTGTGTCTGTGGGTAGAATCATAGAATATCAGGGTCGGAAGGAACCTCAGGAGGTCATCTAGTCCAACCCCCAGCTTAAAGCAGGGCCAATCCCCAACTAAATCATCCCAGCCAGGGCTTTGTCAAGCCTGACCTTAAAAACCTCTAAGGAAGGAGATTCCACCACCTCCCTAGGTAACCCATTCCAGTGCTTCGCCACCCTCCTAGTGAAACAGTGTTTCCTAATATCCAACCTAAACCTCCCTCACTGCAACTTGAGACCATTACTCCTTGTTCTGTCATCTGCTACCACTGAGAACAATCTAGATCCATCCTCTCTGGAATCCCTTTCAGGTTGTTGAAAGCAGCTATCAAATACCCCCTCATTCTTCTCTTCTGCAGACTAAATAATCCCAGTTCCCTCAGCCTCTCCTCATAAATCATGTGCTCCAGCCCCCTAATCATTTTTGTTGCCCTCTGCTGGACTCTTTCCTATTTTTCCACATCCTTCCCCATCCTGTGGGGCCCAAAACTAGACACAGTACTCCAGAGGAGGCCCCACCAATGCATAAAAGCTCCTAACTTGGTTTGTGGGCTATTGTGAAGGATATTTTTTGGAGTCAGACATCTGAATTTTCATAATTTTTACAAGGATTTACCACATAAATTATTTTTGTGTGTTTTGTTACAATCTAGATAACTCTTTATGAATTAAACATGTAAAATGCTTTCAATAGGAATAGTGAAGATAATCCAGGATATAAACTTTGCTTCACCATGAAAACACTAAGCAATCTTTAAAAGATCGATAATTTTTACCTGTAAAAGTAAAGAAGATTTCATTTTGTAGACCTGCTTTCTGCATTTTTACATGATGGCACTCTGACTTGAGTAAAGTAACCTCACAAGAAAGTTCAATGACAAGTTTGCTTAGTATTTGAAGCAACTTCTTCTCAAAAGAAATATTGTAGATACTGTTGCAGGGGGCTGCATGATACCGGGCTGTAAACTCATAGTAAAAGTTAGGATCAGAATAAGCTGCAGGTGAAAGAAAATACAAGATACTGAGAGATGCACATTTAAACATGAAGGTTAAAGTTAAAGAGAACGCATTTTTGTGTAGTTCATAAACAAAATTGATTTACATCCCCACTAAAATTTTAATGAAGGATTCATGTGTCAGAGAACAATGGAAAATACTTTATAATTCATCATTCCTGTTTGTTTCCATAGATAAATATCACCTTTCATTTTGCAAAACATATCCTAACAAGGACAACGCCCCTATACATTTTTGTTTCACTTTCAAGAAATGAAGAGACTATAGTATAAGTGCTTAAAAATATAAAGGAACCTAAGGACAATAGCAGTTTCAGAAGACAATTCAACATGAGGTGCAATTTATCGTCACAGGCACTGCATTCAATAATATATAATTATAATACAGTATTTTGCACCTTTCTAGTGACAACCAAAAAAGCTTCAGGATTGATTCCTGTCCCCCAAAATGAGATATAAGAGAGCTCTAGCAACTGAGTAGTGGCTCAACAACATGTCCCTCTAGATCAGTCTCTGCGGGTCCTGCTGAATAGCTGATACGGCAGAGGGAGGTGAGGAGAGTATCTTCTGCTGCAATCTGTACTGAACTGAAGTTAGCTACCCCTAGCTCCCCACAATCACAGTCTTGCACATGGTGAAGGGGGTCAAGATGACAGTAGGGGTCAGATATTAAATGGATGGATCACAAGGAGACAGAGGAATAATGCAAGCTAAAGAAAAAGAAGCAGGGAGGTGTCAGAGCAATAGAGAATGAAGGAAGGGAGAAGGGTAAAATTAGGGATACGAAGAGTACATGACAAGGGAAAAGAGAATGTGGAGACAGTAGAGAAATCAGGTAGCCGAGTTAAAATACAATGCCATACAGACTACATGATGGTGTATTGCTACCCATTTAAAGATAACTCACTAGACCGTTCACTGCTTGTTTATAATGCAGTATCCCATATTCATTCTGAAATTTTTTAAGCCATACCATCATGTATTTTAATACATTTATGTATAAATTATTCCTGTACATTGGGAGACCACATCTGCTTCTGTGCCCAGGTCCCATATATTCTGGAAGCCCTGTACATTTCGCTTTCTAATATTTAGATTGGAGCCTTGTTGTGGGGAACAAGCAAGCTGTAACAAGACTGGAAGATAACACTGGAAAACATGCTGGAAACAATAAATTTTTCACGAAAATTTTGATCATGAAAAAATAAAATTGAAAAGAAGTTCCCCCTTTTCAGCTATGTTCAGCAAGTTGACAAACTACTAAAACAATCAGACTTCTTTTTTAAGGTTGGAGATAGTGGGCCAAATTCAGGTGAATTTAAAATCAGGAATTAATTTGGCTTATTCTGTTCTACTCAATGTTTCTCAGCTAACACTCACTTCAACCTAGCTCCAATTGAAGTCAACAGCAGTTTTGCTATTGGCTTCAGTTGGAGTAGAATCACGCCCTAAGAGAAGAAAAGAGTAATGAAGAAATGTAATTTTATCTGTAATACTTGTATTTCAGTAGAATCATGGGGCATTCTGCTATATTATGCAACAAAATTTACTCTGAATAGTGAAGCAGAATGGCACGTTCAAAAAATGCTAACACTTTATATTTCATTACACAATATTCACTCAGAAGAGCAGAACTTACTTGACAACAATGTAAAAACAAAACTGAATCAGAGCTTTACATTGGTGTAAAGTGTGTCCTAGTGACCCTCCTGGAGTCCCAGGAATAGGAGGTAAAAAAGACATTAAAATAAATCTCCAAAGGAATAATTCAGCATGAAATGAAGTTACTTTGGCATAGTTTTTAAGAATTTTCACCCACCCAGTTTTTCAATCTTCTATTTTCCAATTATGTTCCATGTCTCTTTTTAAAAGCAGAGAGCCATGCTTAACAATTTCTCAATCAAAAGACCAGAAAATTTCCTTTACGGCACTGAAAATGACATTCCATGAATTCTCTGGTTAGTGACAATTAACAGCAAATTATTGAGAGATGTACAGAATTCTGCAACTCTACTCGAATTAAATTAAGCAGGCTTATCAGAATTTCAAAACATCAACATACATTTTAAAAGTGAAAGAAAAAACATTTTTGTACTGTAAATTAACTGTTTTGATCTCTTACCATAAATAACATATTTGAGCAAATAGTTTTTTTCAGCCTGCTCTGCAGTTGGTTTAAAAACGAGGGAACAAGTGTAAATTCCACTCATGTCGTATTTGAAGTGTCTGAATATTAGGGTTCCTGTTGGTGTTATTTTCACACTGCTATTTTCTAGTAAATAAATAAATAAAATAGTACAGTGAGTTTAGCCTTACTTTTCATTATAACATGGGAAAATACAAAAGGAGGAATCTGAATGGCTATGGTTCTAACCATGCACAGAATGGTACTTATAGCCTTAATACAAGAAGGAAGCTCACCAGTAACTGTAGTTCTTTGGCTGTATTAACACTGCATATTCACCATTATACATAGGTGCCCCAGTACTGCTGAGCTTTTGGAATTTCGCACAAAGTAGTGCTCACTGGGCTGCACAAGCACCCTCACACAACACCAAATGTTCAGTTATTAAAGCATGTTATGATCCTAATCATCTCAGTTCCTTTTAGTAAACTATAATGTCTCATGATAGAGAACTCCCAGAAGAGGGGAATGTGCGCAGATAGTCTGAATAGTTACAGGCAATACAGTAAGAAAATATATACATTTATTCTACAGTTACTGGTAAGTAATCTTTCTGACAATTACCCCTGCATATTACTAGTTGTGGAAGTTTAACAATTATCAGAACTCCAAAATAGGTAGGCTAAAATATTATAGTTAAACAAAGGACCACAAGACAAAGCTTCCCAAAATAAGTATCACGTAGAGATGCTAAATTGCAAGAGCAGTGCTGTGTAAATGTGTGTACAAGACTGAAGGTAGCAGTCATACAGATTTCTAGGATGGAAACATTACAAAGGCATGAGGCAGTAGAGTGGGCTCTTAAGATATTCAGATACTGACAGCCAGACTAAATGACAACAGGTATCAAGGCAGACTCTGAATCACTTTGATAAAAGCTGCGTGGGAATGGCTTTGTGTCGGCATTACCAAGGGCATAAAATGTTTAGTGGACTTCCCAAATATCTTAGTCCTGTCAAGATGAAACATCTGTGCTATGGAGCTTAGAATTTTCTAGTGAGAGTGAAGCTTTGGGAAAAATATAGAGAAATTAATGGCCTGAATCAGGTGAATTTCATGCATCACTATTCATATACATTTGGCATGAGGACATTGGACAACTTTGTCGTTATGTGTTATACACGTTATACAGTGAACGGAAGATCAACTATTAAAGCTTGCGGTTCACCCAATCTTAACAGGTGTGACTGATTTTAAAAACTGCTTTCTTTAGTGACAAGTGAAATAAAGAATATAATAAAAAATTAGAGAGTGAGTTCTTTAACTTCAAGATGCCAGGTTGAGATTCCATATCAACACAGGTTCACAAATTGATGAGCATACCTTCACCTGTCCTTTAAGGAATCTTATGATGGTGGGTCACTGAGGACAGGAGGTATCAATTGGAAGGTTATATGCTGAGACAGCAGAAAGCTGCACCTTGGTAGAAAACAAGCAGAGGCTTAAGGAATATGGGCCACATGCTCAGCCCTCCACTCAGCTGCTCTGTGTTGTCCAGGCAGTGCAAGACAGCCAGACCAGTGCCTGAATCAAGCACTGAATCAAGTGTTACTAATTTGTAAAGATAACGTCTCCGGAATGATTGGGGTTTACTGCATGGGAAGGTCTGGAAGAGCTTTCAAAATTGGCACCAATGGGCAAATCTATTTTGGCTCCTTTGAATGTCAAAATCCTACACCACTGAAAGAGGATCCAAGTGGGTGGAGCTACTAGCTAGAAATGCAAATCAAATCCTTAAAAAAAAAAAGTATGTTCAAAAGCTATTTTGTTCAGCTGCACTAAATTCTACAGAACAGATGGACAAGAACCTTTTTGCTGTGCGATGCAGGCTCTTTTACTGGTTCCAAATGACTATATTTTAATTTCAATAAGTCTACCCTTGTGTAAAAGGATAAAACAGGCAGATCAAAACTATGCTGGATATGTAGAAAACTTCAGTTACATTCCTTTCCAGGCTAAACAATATCAGTCTTTTCAATTGCTCACAATAGTTAAGCCCTGCCATATTACTAATATTTTGACACTTTTCAGTTTGCGCTGAATTCTTTTTTACTTAAGGCAACCAAAACTGAAGATAGATTGTCATTTGGAGTACTAGCAGATTGTAATCTATATCATATCATATTTGTTTGGGACCAGATTCAGTTTCGCCTTTCTGTCTGTGCACAAGGCAAGGAATCTTCTACCACTTTACATGTGCTATGAAGGATCAGCTGCAGTTGCAGCACTTGTGCTTCAGAGTGCTTAAGGATTGTTTCTTCTCTACACCCCAGGGAGGAGCAAGGAGAGCCATGCACGGACACGCCCACACTCATCCCTGGCGCAGGACCAAATCAGAGAGAAGAGCAAGCTAGATCCCATAAATAATGACAGCTCCATGTCAATGTTCCCTCTAATTTTTTACATCCATGTGCAGAATTAATTTTGTTATGTGTACCAATATGGAGGTGATGTGTGGCAGGGTGGGGCTGAGGGGTTCAGAGTGTGGGAGGGGGCTCTGGCACAGCTGGACCAGAGTGTTGGAGTGCAGGAGGAGGAAGGCTCTGGCTGGCGGTGCAGGCTGCCCCGGGCCTGCAGTAGGGAGAGAGGACACCCGCCAGCCCTCTCTCGATGCAGCAGCGCTGGGGCCAGGGGCCATGTGCCTCTCGCCCAGCCGGGGCCAGGGGAGAGGCACCTCTCCCTGCCTGCACAGCCCTTGATAGCCTGTTGCGCAGCCGCACAGCTTAGAGGGAACTTAGCTCCACGTTAATACTATGAGACTCAGTCACTCCAAAAGTACTCCTGAGGGCATTCTTTCCCCCAAAATTAAAAATTCTGCAAGTTTTATTTGTTAATAAATAAATGCAGAGGCTCCAGCATGGCAGTGGGGCGGATAGGCCACTGGCTGCACAAAAGTGGGAGATCACCCTGCAGCCTCCCCACCATTCACCCCAGGCACACAGATTCAGTGGTGAGGCTGCACCCGACCCTGACAAAGCACAAGGCCTGGGCCTGCCCCAGAAACATCCTGGGGCCCTGGCCCTCTGCGCCAGGCACACCAGATGTGGGGCAGGCAGGATTTAAGTGTGGAGGGGCTCAGTGTGGGGTGAAAAGTTTCTGTGTGGGACAATCTGGGTGCAGGCCGCTCAGTACGGGGTATAGGTGTGGGGGGATCTGGATGCACAGAGGCTCGTTGGGGGGGTTCGAAGTTCAGGGGCAATAGGACTCTGCAGGGGCTTCTAGGCAAAAGTGGTTGGGGCTCACCGGAGGGGTCTGGGAGTGGGGGCTCTCACAAGGGAAGTCTGCGTGCTGGGGGAGCGGGGCTTGGTGGGGTAGGAGTCTAGGTACAGCTAATTGAGGTCAGTGGCATGGGGGTCTGGATGTGGGGGGCTCACCATGGTGCAGGGGGTATCGCTCATCAGGGTGGGAGTTTGAGTGCAGGGAGATCAGTGGAGGTTCATCTGGTTACAGGGGGCTTCAGCTGTAAGGGCTGAGGTTCAATGGGGTGAGGTTTGGGTATGGAGGGCTAAGGGGGGTTTGGATGTACGGGGTGAGGCTTGGCAGGGGTGTCTGGGTATGGGAGCTCTGGATGCATGGGGGTTGGGTGGATGGGGGAGCAGCTCCCTGTACAGTGACCCCTCACCTTACAGCTGAGGAGTAATGGGGGCAGGAAACAGGGGAGGATACTGAGCTTCCTGTAGCTGGGGGAGGTTTCTGGGGGTGGGTCTGACAGAGCCCCAGCTACTCCTTGCAGGAGAAGAGAAAGTCCCATCCTCTCCTGCCTCTCACCCAGCTGGGACTAGCAGCTGATCCTGGCTCAGGGTTGGAGCCACTGGCTGGGGTGGCCCCAGCCCCGCGGTGATTTACCTCTCCACTGACTGCTCCAGGTGCCTGAAACAATGTACCTGCACAGTTAGGGAGTGGTGCGTGACTGCTCTTGCAGCTTCCCTTTCTTACAGGGAAGCAAAGTCATTTTTCCACAAGGAAGCAAAGAAATTTGCCAGGGTCATGCATTCTGCACCCATTCAGTGGCACAGAATTCTCCCAGGAGTACAAAACAGATGACGAGACACAGCTATGTCTCCGTAGTCAATGAGCAGAGTTTACACTTAATGCCTTCAGGATACATAGTAGTGGCCACTTCTCCCTATCTTCTGGGGAACTCCAAGAGGTATTGTACCTCCTTCAACAATACTTCCCAGAGCCTGACTGGGCTCAATATGTGCAAGTTCCCTAAAGGCATAACTGAAACCTATTAACCAAAAAGAATTACAATGGGTGCAAATCAGCATGAGTTCTGTAGACTTCTCATATCTCCCCTCGTCATTTTATTTAATCTTTCTTTACAACTCAGTTCCACCAGATAATCATAATTTTGATTTCTCTTTTCTGAACTCCTTCCATCCAGGGCACATAAATGTCAATGATTTTTTTTAAATTTAAAAGAAAATCAGATTTTGTAATCTACATTAAACACATTTTCTTGTTTAAAAATAAAACTATTTAAAATTGTTCACATCTGAATATGTTATCAACAGGGTGGATAAAAATCAATGATTAAAAAAAATTAAAAATAGAATTTTTTTATTTAAATCGGATTTTTTTGATAAAATGCTTTTTGAGGGAAAAAACCTATCTAAAGATATATTATAGCTCAAAGATATCTCATCATGGAATAGGGATTATAAATTTGAATTCTATAGTATGAGAATATATTCATGTAATGTTTAAGAAACGTTTTGTAAATGAGTTCCAACAGTTCACGGATTAGGGACCCAATCTTATGGGGTTCCACAGGCTTCTGTATAGATTATTTAGGTTAATCTTTCTATCTACCCCCTGGGAAACAGTGCTCAGTCTAGAAGAGACCATCAGCGGTGCTTAGTCTTGCAGTTCTCAAACAGTGGATTTGTGTCTCCAGAGGTAACAGGCTTGTTAACAGCAAAAATGTTATATGAGAGAGAGAATAGACGTGAGAAATAACAGACCTCAACTCTATTGTCCCTCTGCAAATTTGTGTACACGGAGTCCATCCCTTACCTCTCTCTAAAAGTGCAAAGTTTCAAAAAGTTCAATTAATAGAAGATTGTTGGGGGTGGAATAGATCT